AAGCACAAGTTTGAGTATTTGGGTGATAGTGCATAAGTACTTTTGGTGCTCTAATTTACTCTGAAAAGTAGTTCTTTAGAAGTTGGGGGAGAACAGCTTCTGAAAATTGATCCTGATTATGTTTCTGTTTTAGATAGAAGCAGGAGCAGAATTAGTTTCAAACAACCCCTTATACATATTCGAAAATACTCACCCACTGTGTATCACACGTTTGTTTTATGCATGTTTCTTTGCCGAGTGTTGGTTTGTTGTTGAAAAAACTATTATTAGTCATGGTCATCTTTACATGGTTTTGTCAAGAGTAAGCAATCACTAAACCTAAAAAATGACACTGCACACAAACGATGACATGAGAATAAAATGTGAAACCGAGAATTTTTTGTATAAATAAGTTTTTCATAAAGTCAAGCAAAGAATGTGATTTGTTTTCAAATTATATTTGTATTGAGTGTTACTATTTTGTTAGACTATACACATTGTGCTATTCCACAATCATTGATACTCCGTAAATCGTATTGAATACATTTCATTTTACATCAAACTTGATTATTGTGTGTGTTTCTTTTCTAATTTGAGTAAAAATTTGCCCTTTAAATTTCACCAACCGAGCACCGCACTAGAGTTGTACTTATTTTTGAATTAATAACTATTATAGATTCTACCTACTGAATGTGTTTCGAAAGTTATTGTGCTTAAATGATAGCATTACTTTTCATATACGGACTCAGCTAACATTTTCTCACAAATTCATATTTAAGTATTGTTTAATAATGCCATAATACACTTTCACATATTTGCACCCCCTGATTTGCCAATTTACCCGGGCAATTCGTGTAAATAGTGCAATTCGTATAAATGCATAGTCAACATATTACTTGAGATGTTTATACTTGGACTTATTTCAGTCTCAGACCAACCCAAACTTAAACAAATCAGACCAGACCATACTTAGATATTAGAAATAGTAGAAGCATTCGCTATTGGCAGAGTCTACTATGTTCATCTCGATAGCGGTGAATCTTATTACATTAGGTGTCTTTTGAATCACATTTGTGGTGTAACGAGTCATGAGGATTTGAAAACATTAAATGATGTTACTTATGATTCTTTTTTGATGCGTGATATGCGTTAGGATTGCTCGACGATGGTAGAGAATTCATTGATGCTTTGAGTGAGGCAAGTCATTTCTCATATGCCTATTGTTTGAGGATTCTATTTGTGATATTGTTGTGGACATAGTCGGTGGCTAGACCGGAGTATATTTGGGAAAAATACGAACATGACCATCATTAATTTCAGGATAGTAATACTATAGCTGCGATTGTTGAAAGCATATTTCCGGAATATGTTAAATCTGCAGGTGATATGAGTTGTTTGTGCGACCGTGCAATTTTGACACTGACATTGGGTGTGTTAATGACTATATGACGGCTCTTAATGTTGGTGAAGTTTCAAGAACATATTTTAGTTTTGACAGTGTTTCTAAGGTAGATTATACGACCAATCTAATGGCGGAACTGCACACTTGAGTTCTTGAATAGTACAAAATTGTTCGATGTACTGAATCATGAGTTAACGTTAAAGGTAGGGACCCCAATGATGCTTTTGCAAAATATTGATCATTCAATGGGGTTGTGTAACGGGACACGTCTTATTCTAAAGAGGCTCGGTGATCATATTTTGGAGGGGAAGATTTTAACCGGTGTGAGTGTTGGACAAAAAGTATTAATTCCTAGATTATCCTTGATGCCATTTGATGCCAGCTTGCCTTTTAAATTTCATAGGCGATAATATTATGTTATGACTTCATATGCTATGATTATAAACTAAAGTCAAGGTCAATCTTTGTCCCGTGTTGGGTTGTTGTTGAAAATATCGGTAATTACCCACGGACAGTTGTATGTTGCAGTATCAAGGGTTACCAATAATCGTTGTGGCTTGAAAATTCTAATTGTTAATGAAGATAAAGGAACCACTGACAAGACTCAGAATGTTGTGTTCAAAGAAGTGTTCAACAATGTTTAGGTTTACATTAAATGCATATTTACAATGTTATGGTTTCAACTTATTTGTTGGATGTTTTTTATATTTTAAGTAATGCTTAGTACTTTCATTTTGACCATAATATTATAAGTGTGTTTCGTTTAGTGCTTTGATGTATATCAGTATTACATGAAGATAAATGCTATCATGAATTGATAATGTGACTTGAATTACTAAGCACAAATATATTTGAAAGTAAAATTCTGAGACCGTGCATCGCACGGGTGAGTTTACTAGTATATTAGTAGTGACGATGATTAAATACGAGGGTTTTTATTGTTAATTATGTTTGGATCATTTGTATGCACTTTATTTGTTTAGATGTGATAAGATCATTTTTGTACTTATTTTTCTTATCAAATTTAAATGATTTTTGATTGAAAATAGAAAGAAAAGACATGTTTTAGATATTTTGGTTCAAGTTTCATGAAATTAGGTGAAAACCACATTCATAATATGTTTGCCGGAATTTCGGGTCAATTGAGCACAAAATGAGTCAATTTGAGTAACAAATGAAGTCATACCGGAAGAAGTAAGCATTTTATCAAGGTGATCCAGAAGACAATCTTGGAGAGCAGGAAACGCCGGAATTACCAGACAAATTTGGCAGAAGGCACCCAAATAGGCGCCCAAAATGGCCGCCTGGTTGGCCGCCTACGGTAAAATTAAAAGTCAACCTTTGACTTTGACCCGAACCAGTAAATGACGGGAGGCTGCCGCACACCAGGCGGAGGGCGGCCGCCTGCGGCACAAGGGGACGAAGCCAACCACCGGCCGGTGCGATTCGACGGCAGGCGGCCAGACAGAAGCGGCAGGCGGCCAGACAGAAGCGGCAGGCGGCCGCCTTCTGGACCGCCTGCGGCTGACGGAGACCGGTGCGATTTAAGCTGCCGGCGACAAGACGGAAGGCGGCCAGATTTGGACGAAGGGCGGCCGCCCTCTTGGGCGCCTGCGAGAAAATTTTGGCTATAAATAGCAAGCTTTTTCCTCATCTCAAACACACCAATTTCAAGCCCAAATCAGATCAAAAAGGGCGTCTTCTTCCTCCTCAAAGCTCGGATTTTCACCATTGTTGTACCTTCAACTTCAATCTTTCATATCTTTCTCATTTTAGCTCCAAATTGTATGTTCTTTATATGTATTTTAATCCTTTCAATGAGTAGAATCTGAATCTGTACTTAGTTTTTTCTATCTGTGCTTCTAAAATTTTCAGAAAATTATTCCACTATTTCGCATTTTCTTCTTAAATTTGAATAAAATAGTTGTTGACATTAAATCCATTCCAACTAATTATATAGTTGTTTACTAGCCTCAAGGTAGTTATTTATCAAAACAAAGTTAATTTTTACGAAGTAGAAGTAAATTTTAATTAATTCCGGCATTTAGTTGTTATTATTGCATAAATTAAATTAAATACTCAAAAAAGGTAAAAAATTAGTTTCTGTCCTAATTCCAGTTAAATTCACAGTAATATCACTTGCAGTAGTCAATATAAAATTTAGAACGAATTTAGAATATTTGTAGTTGTTTTTTTGTATTTTCTAGTTAATATTGGGAAAATTATCAAGTAGTTGTTAAAATTGGATTTCAGGTTATAAAATTCGGGAAAAATTCCAGAAGGTGATATTTTAGTTCTACAAGTTTATTTTGGTAGAATCTTATTTTTCTTTAATTTTCGCTATTATACATGCTTGATTCCTTGTTAATGTTGAATTTATTCATTGTATTGTTAAATAAAAAAATGATGTTTATTAGCTAAATTTGTTTTGGGCATGAATTGACTAAAGGAATATGGATTGACTTGTTGACCTAAAATTAGGGATTAAAATTAATAATTTGGACTAGTTGTTTGAAATGATGAAATAGTAATTAATAATTGTTAGCCATTTTCATTAATTAAATTCTTGGAAAATTATTTCTAACTTGTCTATGAGATTAGAAAATAATTTAAGCCAACCATATTCAAGAACATTAATAAGACCTAGAAATAGGATAATTTAATGAAAGGGATTTACATCTTGTCTATGAGAGATAAATTCAATTGCTTAAATAATGAGTTTAACTAGTTAATGAATTTGGCTATTTTTATTAATTAAAATATTGGAGAATTATTTCTACCTTGTCTATGAGATTAGAATTTAATTCAAGCCAACCATTGTGAACCATTAATGACACCTAGAAATAGGATAAATTAATAAAAATAGTTTCTATTCTTGTCTATGAGAAAAGAAATTATTAGTCCAATTTTAATTTTAATTTCCCTAATTACTAGGTCCAAGAATATATCCATTTCTAATTACTCAGTTCATTGCCCTTATTTGTATCAATCCATTTAAGTTTAATATTATATTTTTTCTTTAGTTTATTTTTGAGCCATCATTAGTATTTGCACAATTTAATTTACTTTCCTTTCCAAAAAGTAGTTTAGGAAATCAATCAAAAGTTTAATTTGGAAAGCTTCCAATAATTTGCGATAACCTGTGACTGGACTTAAAATCAAGAAGCTCCTCCATCATTTCTTGAGAGACACGATACTCGGGGAAAAACCGAAAGGTTAGACTCCGTTTTACTACAACGCCGCGAAAGCGGTCATCAAGATGTTTTTTCACGTGACTAAATGACTTAATGGTTTTACATATATTTTTGATGGTTATTGGTTTCCGGTGATTTTTGATTTACATTTAAATTATCCCTACATAAGTATGCACATATATAGGTGTACTTTATGGCAGAAACAATAGCTACATGTGCGGGTTCAAGTGGAGGATCCCAACCTCCACGAGATCCCCATAGAGTGCCATCTTCGTGTGAGTCAGGTATGATGTAATGCAATCAAAATTGTTAACACTTTTCAAAATATAAATTATTCATGATCAATACTAACTTATATTTTGTTTAATGAATTTTATAGGTTCAGAAACACAGAAAACAAAGCGGAAAGGGAGAGGTTCAACCAAGGGAAACAACATTATGTTAGCCGTAGCTAAAGATGGAAAGATCAAAGTTCAATTTGATTCGGCAAGGAAAACATGGAAGGCAGTAGGGCCAAAAGCTTCTTGGTGGTCAAGCGCAATAGGCATACACACTCGGGACTGTTGTGATCCGTTCTACGATAAGTGGGACGATGTTCCAGCCTGTCAAAAAGCTATGATTCGACATAGGATGTTGGTAATTATGAAAAACTTGTCTTTTTTCTTGTTGGGTTTATTGATTTAAATTTATTTATTTCTAATGGTGATCATGTTCGGTTTATTGATTTAAATTAATTGATTTCTAATAGTGATCATGTTTTACATACTGTAGGACTGGTTTGAGTGCGATAATGACAAGCTTTTTGATGAAGTATTGATTCGAGATGCTCGAGAGTCCTACAACGATTGGAAAAGTGATTTATCTGTGTATTTCAAGAACAAAGGAGGAATGCAAGTTAAGAGACCTATAAATGTACGAAGTGATGAACAATGGCAGAAGTGTTGCGAGAGATTCAATTCTACAAAGTTCAAGGTTTAGTATGAGTATATTTCCTTTTTTATTATACAATTAAAGTTCTAATTTCTGACTTAGTTTCATATTTACAGGAAATTTCTTCGAAAAACCTACAAAATAGAGAAGCAAGTGATGATAAAAGTGGACATGGGAGAAAATCATATGCTCAATACATGCACGAAAAAGTAAGAAATGAGTCTTTGTTATTTCATTTTGAGTTGTGATATGTGGCAGTGATTGGGTGATTTCATATATTTGTTATTGGTGTTTGATGACATATGAATGTATGTTGTAATTTCCTTGGCAGTTTTTATGTTATATTGTAGTTTAATTGGGTGTCATTTTTTAGGTATGGTGCGGATTTTTTGTATGATTCATTGTGTTTTTTTTGTAGTATAGTTTTGTTTCGGGGTGTCTCTAAGGCCTTAATTTATATGTAGTTTATCTCTAGTATATATTTAATAAGCACTATGTATATCGCTTAGTCATATATTTCTGCTTTAGTTTTGCAGGTTTTTCAAAGATTATATTAAGTAGTACAATCCTTATTGTTGTGGTAGTGATTACTGATCGACCAATGTTAAAATTTCAAGCTACTAATTTAATGTTAATGTTATTTATTGATCATTCATGTTATTTTAGGTATTGACAATTATAATGAATATTAAACAGGATGATCCAGAAACTGGTGAGCAGTACTCAGCTCTTGAAAATTGGAAAGATCAACGTTTGACTCGTAGTGGCGAATGGAGAACAAAAGAAGCACATGAAAAATATGTAAGTATATTAAAAAACATTTTATTAATTCTAATCCTAATGATATGTAACTATATGAATTGTAATTTGATAGACTCAAATGAGTGAAGAGTACCAAACAAATCTAGGACAAACAGGGTCATCATCTTCAATAAATGAGATTGATATTATGCACTGGAACTTAAGAAGATATCGCGGACGCCAAAGCGGAGTGGGTCCTACCCTATCAAAGGGTGCATCTCGACGAGTGGAAGATGGCGCTACTTCAACGTTCCAAGACCACCGGGATGTTCAAATAAGTGAATTGAAGGCAAATCAAGAGTTGATGCAAGCAAATCAGGAGTTGATGCTTCGTGCCCTACAACAATTTATTCTTGGCTTTCAACTTCCTTCACATAACTCCGCAAATGATGTTCCTTCTACATCAAGTGCTAACCAACCCGATCAGAATCTCGATGAAGATGATCAAGATTGATAACATGGAGTTGAATATGCTTTTTACTTGGTTAAGATGAACATGAATTTATTTATGTTTACATTTTGTGATGTTGTTGGTAACGATTTAATGAAACTCCGTTGTAGGATAACTCACTTTTACTATGGATATTGAATGAATTTATGTGTTGTTGACATTGGTTGTGTTTGGACAGATTGTGGTACTATTGGTTTATTAATAAAAGTTTTGTATGAATAGCAATAGGTAATGTGGTGTAATTTCAGACCTGTACAGTGCTATTTGCGTCACAATGTCGACGCAAATAATGTATTTTAAAAAAACTGACTGATAGGCTTTGGCGTCGACATGTGGACGCAAAAAATGGTATTATTTGCGTCGACTTTTGGATGCAAATAAATCCTCACTTTTTTGCGTCAACATTATGCATGATTACTTCCGGAAGATCTTTTCTGTCCATATGTCGACGCGAATAATATTTTATTAATTGCGTCATGCATTGTCGACGCAAAAACATTATTTGCGTCCAGTCTTTTGCGTCAACCCTTTTGCGTCATCGACATGTTGACGCAAATACGTTTTTTGCGTCAACTTTTGCTCTTTTGCGTCGACTTTTTGTTGATGTTCCTTCTCTAGAATCTTTCACCTAACTCTCCACATTGTAGATTCTTTCAAGAACACTCCACAAGCTTCCATGATCTTCATGTAGAATCAAGATGACTCCACACTTATTTAGAATACTCTAGACTACTTTCCAACCTTCCACACATTTTTTAGAGATTTCAACATGTCTCTAGAGATCAGAGTATTCTAGAAGACTCCACACATTCAACACACATCTAGATTACTCCACACTATTCTAGAGAGTTCTATTCATCTCCACAGAGTTCTAGAATTTTTTAGAATTTCACATAATATTTGGAATTGTTGAATTATTTTCCATCATTTGCAATGGAGCCAAAGATTCATTATTTTTTGGCTTGAGAATATAATGGAATAAAGCCAATTGTCTCACTAAACTGTCTGTGCTTCTTTGTTATGAAGCAGCAACCAGTCCATGCAATTTTGGACACGATTTTCACTACGGGTCATCCGGAAACGGTCTATTTGTGCTTTAGTACAGGGGTAAGACTTCGTACATCCGACCCCCTTACCCCATCGTAGGTGGGAGCCTTTGCGTCACAGGGGTAAATGAAAATGAAAATGATTAGGAATTGTTGAATTACATCCTAACAATATTTTCATTTAATTATCAAGCTAGATTCATAAACTTTCTCAAAGAAGTGAGAATGTATCCTTATCATATATTAAGAGGTAGGTAGTCTTCATCAAAGAATGCCCAACAAGACGACTAGTATGATGTCGAACATTTGTATACTCTATTTTTTATTTTTAAAATTTAGGTGAAATTCAAAAGAATAATCCCTACCTTTAGCAATTCTATTATAAGAATCCAGTGTTCATAAACATAATATAATCCGAACTAACAATAGTGTCCACATCAATAAATTGGAGTGAAATTAAATTAATGCTCGTTTGATACTTTCAGCTCCTACCTCCACTTTTCCCTTCACCACTCTTCATCTCGGGCAACATTTCTATCTACCGACCTAGATATAACAACATACTACCTCCGTCCCCCTAAGTTTGGGACAAAGGGATGTGGTGTGGTTTTCAAGAAAAGTAGAATTGTGTGATTGGTATTGAATTGATAAAGTATAAATAAAGTAAGAATAAATTCTAACCACTCAAACATTACCTAATATGCTATGGGACAAACTTAGTGGGACAGACAAAAAAGGTAAAACGGGGCAAACTTAGGGGGACGTACGGAGGGAGTATGACATAAATGGTGTTCAAATTAAACGGGTTTTAGTTTGAATTCAACCCGGGAAGAAGAGCAAAGAAGATAAAAGTGAAAGTAGGAGGAATTGTGATTATTAAATGGGCATTGGTTTGAGATCACTCTAATTTATTCATGTGAACACTATAGGTAATTCCGATTATTATTATGATCTCTCCTTGGCGATTATTATTGTAGAATCCCTAAAAGTATGGATTACTTGTGAATTTCGTCTAAATTCTATACACAAGGTATTACATTTTTATGATTTATTTATAAAAGCTATTTATTTCAAAATAACAACCAACTTTAGAACTTTCAATTTTTTATTTCAAAATAACAACCAACTTTAGAACTTTCAATTTTTCCAGCGAGTGATCGAAAACTACTATACAATCAATGCTTTAGAGCAGCGACTCGTCAGAATTGTCCCTATACTAAAAAAAGAAGAAAAAGAAAAGAAAAAAAGGAACACGATGTCCCTAAACATGTAAAAAAAAGGTCTTTTTGTTATTTTAACAGTAACATTTGAGGAAGATAGCCCAACATCTGAATGCGTCTATTACTCTATTATGCAATAATGTGGTAAAACTCCTTGATCAAAGTCCCCACCATCTGCTAACTCTACGTTTGAAGGATGGATTAGTTTGCATGTATTTTCACCTTCAATTTCTTAATTCTTATTATTTTGATGTATCTAATTAAATAAATACAGACACAATTTCGCTTGAAATTATTAGCAGGAGTCGGTTTTGGGTTTTCAGGAATCGTTAAAAGGATTACCTCAGTTTGCACTTCTAAAATGAGCCGCCTCATTTATAGCGTGGAGCATAAAATCAAAGTTGATCAGAATACTCAACTATTGCGACCTTTGTGTGCAGAGGAGGTCATGGAGGCTCTATGCATACGAAGTAGCAATTTAATAGAAAAGTAACCTCAATCTTACTATTTTTTTATTACAAAAATAATCAACACTGAAATAAAAAATAACTACATACTATCGTATATGTTTGATGAAAAAATTGATTGGGTTGATTAGCCGGAAAACATGAATCGTCAAACGGGTTCGTCAAAGATTTCGCAGACTATATTTTACAGACAATCTTTTCCACTTTTATAAATTTTACATTTTGATGTGAAGAAAATTGACCCCTTCTAACATTTTCAATATGTGAAAACGTTGTTTTATAAATATTTGTTCAGTCATATGGTTTTTGGACAAAATCGTTGAAATTGAAATGGTGCAAATATAAACATTTTGGTTAGCGTTTTAGAATTGGGCATTTCCCACTAATTGCTATTGCCGAACAGTTAAATTATTAAACATCTTTTTGCAAGCGTGCTACCCATTTTTTTTAGGTAAATTCACTGACTAAATTTACTATTACAAACCCGCTAAAGTAATTTTTTTACTAATATAATCACTAATCGTTAAATGTCAAAGACGGTCATAGAGACATTTGAGAGATGCGTATAAAAAATGAATTAGTTTTTATGAAAATGTTTAGAGTGAAAATCTATATATACATAAAACCAATATCTCAGTTGTTCGCTCAAAACATTCGCACCATTGTTGATAAGTCTGTATTTCGACACGCATTTGATGCGTGTTGAGATCGGCTTCTGGAGGTTTTCCTAGCTTTAAGGTGTCATAAGTCTCTTTTTTAGCTCAAGTCATATTTTACCGTGCGTTGGTTCGAGTTTTGTATTGTTTGAGTCAAAATCAGGGAATTTGAGCCTGGCATCAGCGATTGATAAGCAATCGGGACGAGTTGAGAAACATTCGAGAGTAAATTGAGAGCTTTGTAGGTCACCGAGAGGTTCAAGATGAAGATTTGATGATAAAAGAGCTCTAGGATTGGCTATGGGATCAAAGGAATTAAGATGAATACAGCTTGAAAATGACGATCAGGATGACGTTCTGTCAGTCTTTCACGCATATCTCCCTTCTTCCAAAAAAAGAATGACCAAATTGACTTTTCTTGATAAAATGTGATCGACTTTGACCAATCATATCTTTTAATATAAAATTATTTAAAATATAAAAAATATATGAGCTTATTCTTATTAAAAAATCTTTCATAAAAATATAAAATTTATAAATTACACAAATATAATACCTAAAATTATTATTCAAACTTTAACATCATTGACCAACAAAAATCAAATTAGTCAATTTTTTTAGCACGAAGGTAGTCTTTGTTAGAACCCTTTCCTATTTGAAAAAGGTAGATTCTATGGTACCCATAAGGTATCATACCTTTGTCCACGTGGATCAATGAGAATGTAATAATTGAATTATTTAAATATAAATTAAAAATGATAAAGTGATGTGATCCAATCAAATAAATAATAGGTACAATACCGCTTTTTTAAAAAGGTACCAGTGTATATGTCTAATTTAAAACTATTCCCAATGACAAAACATGAGACAGAGGGGCAAATAATGAGTGAAAAGACGCATAGCCGCCCCATTTTCATGAAAGAAAATTAAAAAAAAAAAGTATCATACATTTGTCCACATGGACCAATGTGAATGTTGGAGTTGAATTATTTAAATCTAAATTAAAAATGATAAAGTGATGTAGTTCAATCAAATGAATAGTAGGTACGATACCCCATTTTTAAAAGAGTACGGGAATTGTCACCTTAAAAAATAGGACATATTGACTTGGTGTTGACAGGAAATTAAAGCTTCATTCGTATGTACTCCTTTCAATTTAAAATTATGTGTCCTATATTGATGGGACATATTGACTTGGTGTTAAATACTACCTCCGTTCTCTTTTAGTTGCAACATTGAACTTTTTGCACTATTCACATGTTCTACTTTGACTACATTTTATTAATTGATGTATAATAAATTAAATATTTAAAAAATATTATTACATTCTTCTCATTCTAAATTTTCAAAATATGAATTTTTTAATTTTTTTACTAATAAGAAATAAAAGATATTAATGGTCAAACTTGTGCATTGGCAAACGTGAAATGTTGACTGTTGCAATTAAAAAGGAACGGAGGAAGTATAATGGCTCCGTACGTAGATGGCGTGATGGGTGGGCTAAGTCTCCATGCATGCATGAATACGCACATGGCTGTGCCTGCCCCAGATCGGAAACCAGCCGTAAATGCGCTCCGGCCCGTCATCTCCCATCCCGTAAGCTCAGAATTATATATCTAATGTTTTCTTGCGTATATATGTCTATGTTGTGCACAATCTGTTCCGCTGCTAGCTAGATAGCTTGCTTCATCTTCTACGTACTTATAGCTTCATCTTCAACAATGGCCGGAGTTCTAGTTTTCAGTTTTTGGATGGTTATTGCTTTTACTGCTACTACTACCATTGCGGAGTCTCGACCAGTTCATTTGAAATACGTTAACGGGTCCATGGAAAAAGGAGCCGGTTCGTACGTTGCCAGATCCTTTATTTATGATCTGTATTTATATTACATATTTAAATTCACAAGCAACATTGATGGAATTGTGTGTGTTCAATTACTCGATTTGCAGTATGTCTCGATGGGAGTCCATCCGCATACTACCATGACCAAGGGTTTGGTCCCGGGCGTCACAATTGGGTCATTTACCTCCAAGTAATATAATTATTACTACGTATTCTTTTTAATCCATTCTTATAGTCTGTACTCAATCATCATTTTGATTAATACTAGACGATAAACCCGTGCGTTGCACGGGAAATCTAGGAACCCTTTGGTGATCCATATATGTTTACGGTTTATCAAACTTATCAACCATTTTAGTTTTTTCTCATATTTCGTATAATTTTTTCTGAGACAAAGGGATTATAAATTTTTGAGATAACAAAAATAACAAATGTTAGCAAAGTTTCATGAGACAGAGTAAGTGTAAGTTTTATGATTTTTAATTTATGAATGTGACTTTTCTAATTTGTAGTTACTAACTGTCACTGAGAAGTTGTTGTGTTCATCATATTTTTATGAGAAAAATAATCAAAATACCTAAACTCTGAAGAAGCGTGAGATAAACACTCCAAACTTTCATATGTAATTTAAATACCCCAAACCTTATGTAAAATTTATTTTAGCAATATGGTCCTATATTATTCCTTTCAAAAATGTTATTTATGGTGTTAATTGCATAATTTAAAATAAAAAATTAAAAATATTGCAATTGTTCACTCTAGTGGGGGCATAATTATTTATTTTGCAATGGAAGTTTAGAATTTTAATTGTATTTTTTAGAATGCTAAAATATTTTAAATTGTGAAACTTACACAAAAAATTAACAATTTTGAAAGAAATAATACATGACTGGTGCTAAAAGAACTTTTTACATAAAGGTTGGGGTATTTAAATTATATATGCAAGTTTGGGGGTGCTTAATTCACACTCCTTTTAAAGTTTGAGGTATTTTAATTACTTTACCTTATTCTTATTGCTTATTGTTTATTTTTATTTTATTCAGACCAGATCAAATAAGGGACAATTCAAGTTAGATCAAATCGGAAAAATTAAGTTCACATGAGAAAGGTTTAGATGTATATTTATAGTTCTAACTATAATTATAGTTATAAATTTAATCACAATAATAGTGATGATAATAACAAAAATAACCGCAACAATAATAAACATTTAATTACATTAGCAATATTTAGATCTGAGTGAGATTGATTCAGATCAAATGAAAAAGATTCAAATTAGATAAAAAAAAGTTTCTGATCAGCTAAAAAAACTCAGATCATATGAAATATTAAAAATTCAAATAAAAACATTCCTATCCGGCTAATGGAATAACCCCTAAGAGAGTGTTTGCAAATACTTAAAAAAGCGATTCTCGACTTTTAGCTTAAAAGGCTAAAATTAGTGTTTCCAAATGACTTCTACTTAAATAAACGTTTATCGACTTTTGGCTGAAAACTGATCTTTACTTTTACTACTACACAAAAAACGCATATTTTACCAAACACGGTCAACTTTTACTTTTCAAAAACACGGTCAACTTTTACTACTTTTATTATTATACGGAGTACTCAATTAGTTTTAGTACTCCGTATTACCCAACTACTACTTTAGCAAATACTAATTAAAATACTAATTAGCTAGTATTATGCATGTTTTCGTAACTGAAAGTGCATTGATGAAGTATTAAGATAGATATTTAATTGAGACAACAATTTTTCACATGTTTTGACTCCAAATAGATCTCACCTGAAATCCCACCATAGGATCTTTATATATATAAAGATACAGTGTTTGTACGAAATTGATAAATCATTTTAAAAATGAACATTTTTCATGTTATAAATATTTACGGCAAAAGTTTAGTAATTAGTACTACGAAGTTAGAATCAAATGATGAAACATAGACCCAAGTTAGAGTTATATTTATTAGGAAGTACTACGTATTTAGTACTACGTATATTCGTGCGGCATATGACAAATTTTTAAAGGTAGATTCTATGGTACCCAAAAGGTACTGTACCTTTGTCCACATGGATCAATCAGAATGTTGCAGTTGAATTATTTAAGTCTAAATTAAAATTGATATACCTATGCGGACCAATCAAGTGAATGGTAGGTACAGTACCACATTTTTTAAATGGGTACCGGAGTTCTCACCATTTTTAAATTGAATGACATCAATCGCGTGTGATGTACTCCCTCCGTCCCGCAAAAATGTTCCGGGTTTGACTTACAAATATTAAGGAAATAAAGTTATGAGTGGGTAAACTTATCACTTGAGTTGATTAATTAATGTGTACTCCATTTAAGGGAGGAGGATGGTGCACTGATGCGACAGAATGCAAAGATCGCAGCAAATCAGACTTAGGAACTTCGAATCACTTGGAGAAATCTATCACCTTCAATTCTTCCTATCTTTCCAGTAATTCCACGGATAATCCTGGTAAAAGAATTATTTATTTATTTTTTTGTTTATTTAATAGAAATTATCTAAAAATGAGTAAAAACATTTTGAATTTCAAAATAGGATTTTCTTGTATTTATTCCCTAAAAAGTAGTAATTCTGCCAAGTTTAGAAAAAAAAAGTCATGTTTAAAGCATAGTAATGCCAAACTTTTTGATGGAATTAAATCCAACTACGAGAGCTAAATATACTTAAAATATCTAATAATCTAGCAGCGTAAAGCAGTTTGTGTATTATTATTCCGGACTATGAGAATCAATTCGTTCTACAGAAATCCATCCCCCTGGTAGGGTGTTTACATCCAATATTTATAGAGATTTGAGTGGTAGAATTATGGAAGGAATCTACTACAATTAATGCTAATTAATGAACTATGTTCTTGCTCGAGTTAGAACTCCTCAGTCTTTGATTCTCACCCCATTGTTTCCTTCTTTCGGTCATAGTAATCCGGTCAAATTCTGCCTGTTGCCAAATATTTGTCAACGAATGGTAGCCTGCCACGTGGTGCTCAGGGATATCCTGGCCTTACTATAACTCCGCCTAGGCTCGAGGCTTGTCTTCCAGCCCGGCCTGGCTACGGCTCCCTGTTATAGGCCTGGTCCCTCATGAGTTACGCAGCCAACTACTTATTTATCCCGTTTATGGGATAATCCTGTAATTGGGTTGATCCCGTTTATGGGCTAATCCTGTTATTAGGCTGATCCCGTTTATGGGCTGGACTACGCAAATGGGCCATGGGCTGAATCCACGGTACCATCACGAGCCCCCCTACTCTTCAAAATTAGCAGAGCTGAATTTTGAGGAGTAGATTAGATGTGATCCACTACTTCCAGATCTCAAATCTTTGAGCCGGCTATAGCTCTGCCTAGTAATCATTACACTAGAATAGGCTTGCAGTCTGGGCTCAATTTCCAACCTGCCTTTCGCCTTTTCCACAACTTCGAGCCCCCCTAATTCTTGGCCGTCTAAAATCTGACTTTATTTCGCATTAACCTTTTCACGCCCATTTCCTTTGCGCAGACGCTCTGCACACCATTGACGGGTTTTAAGTCTTCGAAGAATCTTCTCCAATCTTCCTCGTTTTCCTTCAGGTCAGTTCTCATGTCTTCTTCAATCTTCGTTCCCGTTCATCAAGGTTTCCCAGATGGTGAAAACGCTCCCATTTGCCCCAAGATCCCCGTTGATGAAGACGGGGTAGAGACTCATTTTTTCCTTTCTTCTGAGCATGCGCGGAAGATTCCGGCTGTGGCGCTTTCCGATTCGGAATTCAACGAAACCGTGGCCCTCGCGGGTCTAAGCGTAGTCTGCTCTCGCCCTTTGCCGGGCCAAAACATCGTTGATTCCCCCACTCCTCTTCATTTCGGCGTTCATATTTCAAGTCTCCAAGTAGGCCTCAGGTTCCCCTTACATGGTGGCTATCTTGGTGTCCTAGGTTACTATGGGGTAATTACAGGTCAGTTCACCCCTACTACCCACATGTTCATTGCCGGGTTTATTGCCCGGTGTATGCACTTGCGAATTCATGCCAATATCAGTCTCTTTCTTCATTTATTTCATTCTGTAAGGCCCGGTGGCTCCGAATCCCCTAGATTTTTGTCCATTTCTCAGCGGGTTGGACATCGTTTATTTGAAGCCAAGTCCTATCCCGATTCCTTCAAGGGGTGGAGGCAGAAATGGGTTTGGGTCACCCTTGTAGATGGCAAGCTTTCTTTCCCAAATAAATGGGGCGAATTAATCCGGAAATGGTCAATGCCCTTTTTGGGGGAAAGCAGTACCTTGGCCGCTAAAAAGATTGAGGACGGAGCACCATTCCTGATGGGGCATTATGTAGGTGAGGACAAGATTGTGATTCTGACCTATCAATCAGGTTGAATCATACCAGATTCGGATTTCATTGTCTTTCTTTCTTCCTGTTTATAATTGTCTTGAATTCTGATAATGCTTCTTGACTCCTGTTGTAGCGGGCGACAAGATGGCTTCGCGATTGGAACGTCTAGCTGCTAAGGCCAACGTCATTCCCGGGAGCCCAACGCCTGGTAGGAAGATTTTCATCCAGGGGGCTGTCAATGCTTCCTTAGAAAAACTAGGGGAATCTCCTTCCGGAGATGGTATTGCCCAGTTGCCCACGTCGGCCGTTGACCCTCGGTCCAGAAAGTCTGGGAAGAGGCCGGCACACCAATCCATCTTCGGGCCCCAAAAGAGGGTGAAAGTGGCCTTGAAGTCTCCTGAAGAGGTGGCAATCAGGGGAAATCCTCGGCGCCAAATCATTTCATCTGATTGTGCATGAAAGTGATTCTGCGTCTGTCTTTAATCACACTGTGAACCCTGTTTCCCTGGGATTGGCGATTACGCCCCCTGTTGATGCCGCGGAAATGAAAGAAATGTCAGCTTTGGCTAACCTGCGTCGAGGCATTTGTTCCATCACAGAGGTATGCCCTTGGTTTTCATATCACCATACGTATTATATGTCATTTAACACTCCCGACGTTCACCTGGTTTCCAGGATCTCGTTCGGGCTTCCTCAAGCTTTTATCAACTCAAGAAAGACCACAGTGATTCTCAGGCCATTTTGCTGGAACTGAAGGACAAAGTGGCTGAGTTGGAACGGCGACTAGGGGCGTCCGTGCAGTGGGGAGACAATTTGCAGAAGAGACTGGATGACGTGGAGGCCGCACACCGGGTGGTGGAGGAGGAGCTGAGGAAGAAGGCCCTGGATGCAGTTCAAATTTATAAAGATAGTCTGGATTTTCGTTCTGAACTGGAAAAACTAATTCAAGATCGCAGGGCTCAGATTGCTGATGAATGGCTCCAATCTCCTGATGGCAAGGCTAGGTTGGACGAGGAAGGGGCCCTCTGTTTTAGCATCGGTCAGTACGGGATGCAGAAGTCCCTATATGATCTTTTGCACAAGAAGGATCCCACTTTCTCCGCCCAAGCCTGGGGTTTGCCTGAGCTGATGAAGAATCCTGAACCCCCCCCCCCCCCCCCCCCCGGAGACTGCGGGCACTATAGTCGAGAGTCCGGTCTTGGCAGTTCTTGCTCCTGAGATTCCTGCCCCTGAAAATTCTCCTCTTGAGTCTGGCAATTGACTTCCCTAAACTTGTCCCAATTGAACACTCATTTTCCGGGTCTGCGTGCCTGTCATGTTTTCCACCCTCGGGGTGGCTTGTAACAAACACTTACTCTTCTGTGTTTACCTTTGTATGTTTGATGCAATTATTGTTTATCACATCTTGCTGTCTCGGGGTCGGTTGATTTGTTCTGTCCAACCTCCCTTAAGCTTGACCCACATCACTCAGCCCTAATTCTGGGCTGGTTTCCTTCTTGATTATTCGTCTGGGAATCTGACCTTCGTTTTTGCATTTGCATGATTTTGGATCTTGGTTCGACCTCAAGGTCTGGCCTTCGTTACCTGGTAGGTAAGTATGTTTTTCATCACTTTTGTCCTTGTAGTTTAGCCCTGATTTCCCGGTCAGGGTTGCTTTCCTTGGTTCTTAATTTCTGAACCGTTTTGGAGAGCTTTACCAATTATAACCCTAAGTTCTTATTCTCTGAACTGTAATAGGGTGGGTTTTTCATCTTAGGTTATTTGAGCCTTAAGACGAACCACTTGAATTGGCGAGGCATGATAGCCCCTCTGGTGCAAAGTCCATTCCTTAAATTCATCCTTAGCATGTTGTAAATCAGTCTTGGCCTTGAAAAAGGCCTTCTTTTCCTGTTTGAGGAAATTTGATTTCTATTTGTAAGGCTGTCTGATCTTGAAAAAGATCTTGTGTCCCTGCTCTCGTCTTTTAGTAAGACTATGTTGTTAGAGTTGCGGAACTTGGATGATGAATTTAGACCTTGGCTTTTCTACGAGTACCAAAATTAGGCGTGATAGCCTTTAGGCGTGATAGCCTCTAGGCGTGATAGCTTTAGTTTTTTTTTTGGCGGTTAATAAACCTTCGCAATTTTACAAGGACTTTGGGTGAAAGAAAACAAACTTTATTGAGTAATTCTTCAAATTCGAGATTACAAACCTACTGGTAGAATTTCATCAAGTGCTCTGAGTTCCACACTCTTTTGACTACTTTTCCCGTAGGAGTGCACAGCTTGTAAGTCCCAGGTCTGATGATACCTTTGATTTTGTAAGGTCCTTCCCAGTTCTTGGCGAATTTTCCACCTTCTAAGGGTTTGCTGGCAGACCTCCTTCGCAGGACAAAGTCCCCAACTTGAAATAGTCTAGGTCTGACCCTTGCATCATGGTATTCTTTGACTTGCCTCCTATAGTTTTCAGCTCTGATGAACTCGTTATCTCTTCTTTCTTCGATTAAGTGCAATTCTACCCTGAGCATGTCCTCATTGTTCTGAGGATCATAATCCTCAACCCTCTTACTTGGGACTTAAAGTTTCCAATGGTGCTCGGGCTTCAAAGCCATAGGTTAGGGAAAAAGGAGTCTCACCTGTAGCCTTTCTTGGGGTAGTTCGGTATGCCCAAAGTACGTTGTTGAGTTCGTTTACCCAAGTTGTTCCCCATGGATTCCAGCTTTCTTTTGAGACCATTAACAATGGTCCTGTTAGCATTCTCCACTTGCTCGTTACATTGGGGGTAGGCGATAGATGCCCTGCTGGCCTCAACTCCCCATTATTCACAGAACTCTTTGAACTGTTCAGAGTCAAACTGCTTTCCATTATCGGTTATAACTTGCATGGGAACACCAAACCGGCAAAATATGTTCCTCCACACGAACCTTTTGCATTGCTCCGCGGTGATTATCGCCATTGGTTCGGCTTCAATCCATTTCGTAAAGTAGTCAATTGCGACTATCACAAACTTCCGGCCTCCCGAGCCTGGAGGAAAGGGCCCTAAAAGGTCTATTCCCCACCTTGAGAATGAAATCGTTGTGCTAATCGGTTGGTACAGGGTGGCGGGTCTGCTTGGATTTGTTTGAAACTTCTGACAGACCTCACACCTTCGCGCAAAATCCACGCAATCCCTTATCATCGTAGGCTAGAAATACCCCTGCAGCAAGGCCTTCCTACTCAGAGTGAACGCACCTTGATGGGATGAGCAAGTGCCTTCATGCAGCTCTTTGATCACTTGCTGCGTTTGTTCTGGCCTTAGACATTTAAGTAGCACACCATTGTAACTTCTCTTGTATGGTTTGTCATTCTCAATGACATAGTTTGGAGCCCATCTTCTGATTAGCTTTGCTTTTTCCTCGTTGGAAGGCAACGTTCCATCTTCCTTGTATTCTATCAATTCTTCAACCCAGGATTTCTGTTTCTGCTCGGCTGAGAAAATTTCAAGGTCCTTGGTGACCTCTATGCTAGGTCGGTCTAGCTCTTGTATTCGAGCTATGTGCATATATACCTGGGATCTTCTAATCTCATGAACAAATATGCCAACTTCACTGGCTTTCTTTCAAATGACTCCAGAATCAATCCCGGTAAACCATTACTTTTCAATTCTATTTACTTGATTATTTTGATTTTGTAAAGGGCTTGTCCCAGTTCATAATATAATACCCCGTATATTCATGGCTTAACTGAAAAAAAGAAAACTTTCTTAGCTCTTAATTTGTTGACCAGTTGGGGGTAGTAGCTTTCAGTAATAACTGCCTGACCAAATTCGTTAGTGACATTCTTTGCACTAATATCTAAACAATTTATTATTTGAACTAATTAATTAATTCGCTCGTGCTATTGTGTACAGAATTCCACAGCTGGAATAGGGTGTATATTCCCTATTGTGACGGTTCTTCTTTTACCGGAAATGTTGAAGCTGTGGATCCGGTAATCGAGTATAATTCGAATTAAACTTCAGCATTAATTTCATTCCACAGTACACCCAATAGTGTTTAATTAATTTGCAATGGTTTTGTAGCTTCTCACATACTACGTATTTTGTACGACTTTCTATAGGTTACAAATGTTACCTACCGTGGATTACGCATTTTCAAAGCCACGATGGATGATTTGCTCTCTCAGGGAATGAAGGATGCTCAAGATGTAAGATACTACTATATTTGTGTATTTAGATGATCATTATATCATTTATATCTACAGTTTTGACAAACAAATTTAAGTACTTCATTATAATCCGTATTATTTCTAACATAGCTTAATTAATTGATATGCTGTGAAACCAAAAGAGCATAATGAATGTTTAGTAATAAAGGAGCGAAATTGTAATAATTATTAGGAAAATCAAATTACAGGCAATTCTTAGTGGTGTTTCGGCCGGCGGACTGGCTACAATGATTCATTGTGACCGGTTTCGAGACCTTCTTCCGATGACAGCCCGAGTCAAATGCCTTGCAATTGCATCTTACTTTGTGCATGAGTAAGTTCTATTCAAATACATAGTACTTGATAAAAATTAACATATACAGATACATACTGCGTATTATTATGCCTATATGCATAGTAAATACTTGTATTTATCTATTCATTATAGTTTTAATTTGTTGAAGTGATCTGAGTATCTAAATGAAAGTGAAACAATTAATCTATACTCCGACTTTTCAACAGGGTGCATCTAAACGGAAGCAAAAAGTTCGAATTCTATTTTGAGGCGCTCGTCAGTTTACATGTATTTTCGATTTCCTCATAAGTAATTTGTTATTATAGATTGTCTCAATTAACTCAATTAAATACACAAACAATATGATATAAAATTATTCACTTTGAGTATCTTAGGGATCGTCAAAAGGGCTACCTCCACAGTGCACTTCAAGAATGAGTCCCAGTTTGGTGAGTTACTCTTAGCTTTTTCAATAATAAATTATTTGTGGGAGAATGAGACAGTATCATTCAATTCTAAATAAATAGAGATTTTCTCAAATATATTAATTAAATCAATTTTGTTTCTAAAGATTATGATAAATAGTACTCGAAAGTCGTAAGTATTAGATTATTATAGTGTCATGGGTTTTTAAGTATAAAATTTGAACATAAAGTACTATGACTAAGTTCTTGCTATAGTCACTGCATGCACACAAAAAATCATTTTTTGTAATTATTCAAATAAATAATGCACAACTTATTACTGATTCAATTTCGTCTTACGCCGCTAGTGCTTCTTTCCCCAATACTTCTTGCCGACCATAGAGACGCCTGTCTTCATAAGCATGTCAGCATTTGATCATATTCAAGTACGTGGATAATTGAATTAATACATTACCATACTAATTTATTAGTACACTAATAAAGTAAATAATAATGATAATAGCAACACTTACTAACTAATTAATATTGTCAATGATGCTTCAATTCGGTTTTTTTATATATATAATAACAGGTAAGACTGAACTTGTTTCAAGCAGATGAGGTCTGCCTTCTACACGATAATTGCACATTTGAACGGCTCCAAGCAATGCAAGGTAAGCCTCCAAGTATCTTTTGTGGAGGTCATAAAAGAATAAATTTAGCTCCGTAATGGCATATTAATTCTGGCTTGGTATAGACAAATTCGAGTATTGATCCTCAAATTAAGTCTATATTACAGCATCTCCGATGCAACAACATGAACAATATGGATGCAAAAAGTTAGATTAATGAAAGTTATATCTCTTTCTATATTTTGGTTTATTTGTAGTAAGAATTGCAAGTGCAATAATAACTACTCCGTATATCTTAACGTTTTTCTTCTAAGAATTTCAAGTGCAATAATTATGTCATGATGTTTTTCTTGACATTGTAGAGCAATAATTATCAAAACCTATAAGAGAAGAGTATTATTATGTCAGTTGATTTTTATGTGTTTCTCGTGTTATGAATGCATTCTGCACATTATTGAATTAGAAATGCTTGCTTAGAACTTCAATCCGAGTGAAAGTACGATTTTTCTTAAAATTAATACTAGTAAACTTTTGGGAAAAATAATTAAAATATCCTAAACTTTGAAGGTGTGTGAAGTAAGCATCCCAAACTTGTTTATATAATTTAAATAACCCAAACTTTATATACAAAGTTATTTGAGCACCATGATCATGTATTATTTTTTCAAAAATGTTAACTTTTGGTGTTAATTTCATAATTTAAAATATTTTAACATTTGTGAAGATGCAATTAACATTCTAAATTTTCGTTGTAATATACTTAGTAAATAGTATTACTCCCATTCTATATATTTGCAACATTTTCATTTTGCTATTTTAAATTATGAAATTAACACATAAAATTCACATTTTTGAAATAAATAATACATGAATATGATGTTAAAATAACTTTAATTTTTATCAAAATTGGGGGTATTTAAATTACATATGGAAGTTTAAGGTGTTTATCTCACACTCCTTCAAACTTTTACAACCATTCCACGGGAATGGTGTATTCCGACCAAATGTCAAGTTTTGCAGCCTGCGCAGGCACGGAGGAAAGAAATGGCTGGGGAGACATACATAAAGTAAAATACCTTTTTTATTTAAAATATTGTACGCAACTTTTCGTATTTGTAATCTAGTTTTAACAAAAGGTATATTACCTCCATTCCGAAAAGGTTTGTTATATGGAGTTTTCTTGGTCAATGATTACAAACATTGAACCATGATTTTAATCATTATATTTGTGTATAATATATAAAGTTTTTACTTTTAGGAAAATATATTGATTAAGGAACATTTTGATATAATTTTCATTTTCTAAATAGTTTTGTATTAAAAAATATCATTAGTCACAGTTGATTCTCACTGACAAAGGAAATTCAATTTGATGAATCTTTTCGGGACGGATGGAGTATCAAATTTTGCGAGTACCAATTGAAGTATTTTGAGAAGGGGGTTACACCTCTTTTCAGTTAATATTTTTATATATTTATTTTTCCAATTGCATTTTTTACGACCTATCAAATGACATTAACATTATACGTAGCATATATAAAGTTTAAGAAAAAAATAAAGTTTCAATGGTCAGAGTGTTTCAAATAAAAAAAATATATTTAAGTGTTAAAATTAAGATCACATTGTTAATTTTTACGTGCTTTAGTTACTTTTTAAATTTTTATTCACATTTTTGAACATAATAAAAATCAATACAACGACGCGATTGTTCACGTGGGACAGGGTCAGGCCCGGCCGTGGGCAAGGGCAAGCTGGGATTGTGCCCCGGGCCCAATATTTATAGGGGCCCATATTTTTACACACACACTGGACAATTCATATCAGTTCGAGGCCATTTGGGGCCTTTTTCGATGGAATTTTTTGATGAAATATTTTCAGCATATTCTTCATCAATTATAGATTACATCCACAAAATTTTAGGTTAAAATCCAATCGGGAAGTCAATTAAATAAAATATTGAATCATACTGCACTTATGTATATAAATAATACGCAGTATGTTTCAATAATTTATTTAATTGAGTTTCCGATTGAGTTTTAATCTGAAATATTGTGGAGATATTATACACTAGATGAAGAACATGTTTAAAAAAATTCATCAAAACATTCCACTGGAAAGAGTCCCAAATGGCCTCGTCCTAACCGCAGTTCCCGTCAGACCGGGCTAATAATTTCAAGGTTTCATATTTGGACTTTAATTCGGCTCGATCAGCAATCAACACTCTCCTAATTTCCTCAAAACTATCTTTCAAATTTGAAATTTCAGTTTAACAGGTAATTATGTAAAAAAAATTAATATAATTTTCATTCTTTTAGTTCATATATTTAAGACTTTGATGAAAAACTTACATTATTACTTTGCATGTTGAAATTTGCGTATATAAAGTTAAGCTTTTGCAATATATTTACATAACCTTTTAGGGACCTTTTTTCCCCAATCGCTCTGAGCCCATAAAATTTCAGGACCGGCTCTGGACAGGTCACATGCGTGACCAGGGGTAACATAGGATGAATATACATAGTTGTATTCATAAATGTACCCGCATTTATTAATAAATTATATTCAAAAGTACATCTATTGTGTTCCCTTTGTTTAAAATACATTAAAGTAATGGCATTTTGTTTAAAAAAAATTGAATCAAATTTCATTTCGTAAGTTTAATTAATTCAAAATTATATATATATATATATATATATATATATATATATATATATATATATATATATATATATATATATATATATATATATATAGGTTGTATGTATTTTGCTTTTATATATTTTAAAAATAAATTGAACTAAAAATATGTTTTTTCGGAATAATTGATCAGTTCATACGAGATCACATCAAACCTGATTAAACTTATTCTGAAAATTTCAATCCAAATAAAAACATCCTTAAATTGTAGGATATAAACTAATGTTAAATCCTAAAAGTATAAACAAATTAATGTTCAATAGATGTCTATACCTGTACATTAAAGCCCAACTCTGTCCGGTCTAGACCTACACAAAAACTGGTTCGGACCAGGCTCGGGACGGACTTTTCATAAATTTTTTGTCCATCATGTGTCGGCGGGCCCGGCCCGGCCTGCAAAAAAGGGCCTAACACCATGTTCATACCCGTCCATAAGAACGTGTCGGGTGGTCCACCAAGCCGCCTGGTCCTGGAAAACTTTATATTTTTCAAAATTATATAATATTTTTAATACTTTATAAATAATATTACAACATTTAAAAAATTGATAATACGCTTATAATGTTTATAGGTCTTTCACCATATACACAAAAAATACTTACACACATATAATAATGATCGAGAAACTATATCTAAAATTTAAAATTCATGCACAATGTATTATCTTAAGTACAAAGTAGATATTATATTGGTTCGACTATTTGTTAAGAACTATATACTTTATTTTTTTTAGTTGAACTAAAAACTTAAATTGAAACATAACAAACTATATATATGTATAAAGATAAATTAGTAAATATTCATGTGTACATGTAAATAAATAAATTAGTATATATATATAAATATATATGTATATAGCGGGCTGGGCTTATCTGCCCGAACGGGCCTACACCCTAATCCAAGCCCGCCCATATGTTATTGCGGGCCGGCGCCCCTAGACCGAACCGGTCGGTAAATATATACCCGTATGTCCAAGGCCGCCCATATGGACGGGCGGGCTGAGCGAGTCGGGCAGGTTGGCCCGATTTTGTGCATGTCTAATCCGGTCCATTCTTAAACACTACGCCTACAATCATCGATCATACTACATACTCCGTATTAATTACAAAATCATCAAATGATAATAAATTACATTATTCACATATTTCACTTTAATTAGATTTTATTTATTAATGTATTACTAATTTATTTTTATGAAAATATTGCTAAATTTGTATCATGGTAAACTGTGAATTTTTTAATTTTTTTAAAAAGTAAAAAGTTAAATATGGTAAATAAGTTAAGTTAAGTGGGATAGTGGAGAATAATTTCAAAGGAGGCCACTCAGGGGCATTTCCTCTACCCTTTGAAAAATTGTCATCTACATTTAGAGCCCGTTTGGTAGCACCAAAATCGGCTGTTTTGGCTGATTCTGCTGAAATTTATGATATTCTGGCTGGAGTGGCTGTTTTGGCTGATTCTGCTGATTTAAGAAAAAAATATTTTAAAAATATATTTTATTAATAAATTAAAGAAAAAATTATATGTAAAAATAGCTAAAATGGTCCTCTACAGTAACTTCAGAAAATACAGCCAGAAAAGTAACTCCAACCTTACTTTTTCGGCTTATTACACAATTCAGCGCGCGAAAGTAATAGTTACGTGTTTGGTGAAAAAGCTGGCTGATAAGCCGAAAACAGAGTTCTCCAAACGGGCTCTTAGTTTGACTGGCTTTTAGAACTTCCGTGTAACTAGATTTTGTCTCTCTAAAGTCTCAATAAAAAATTCAATTCAGTAAAGAAAGAGAGTGAGTCAATGCTACCATATTTAATGAAGGAATATTTTTACTTTGGACCACTTTTAGGTGAGATTAGATTTTACACTTTATTTTCAAAAAAAAAAGGCTTTGACATTGCACCCTATTCCAAAAAAAAAATCACAAAAAACTGGGGAGCTAGGTTGTGAACTCAAAATCTTGTGAAAATAGAGTGCGAAGTTAATATATCTTTTTAACTAAGAGAAAAGAAAATTATCATGCTCAAAGAAGCTTTAAGAAAAATGCATCTTATTTTAGTGTTGTAAATGTTTACATCATGCAAAATCGGACTTCTTTTTATATGATAACCCTCTCCCTCAAAAATACAGAGTTGAGGCACTACGTGCTATCTGAGTTACCAAAAGGGTATTTCTTCGAACGAGGAATATGGATCACAAGCTGCATCGCTCATAACATACCCTACTATTGGAACCAGGTAAATAAATATATATACGAAGCAGGGACGGATCCAGGATTTCTATTCAAGGGGGGCGAAATTTTTCGGTAGTGTAGGGGGTGAAAAAATTTTCGTTAGTAGTGGGGCGAAAAATTTTCCCCTAGTGTGGCGGGGCGAATTTTTTCCGCTACTATAAGGCTATGCGGCTAATTTTATTCAAAAAATGACATTAATACATACACATCCCCAACGACATTTAAATCTATTAAGTTGTACATTCTAAGTTTAAATTAGACGATGACAAAGACATCAACCAATACATTTTTAATAACTTCTACATTGTTTAACCTCATGAATCGGTTATTATTGAATTGTACTTTTTGTCCGGCCACCAAGGAGGGTGTTCGTGAGTCATGACTCATGAGAAGTTTTCTTAATATTACAATAGTAGTATGTATGGTATTATTATTTTTAGAATAGTATCCACCACATACACACACACATATATTGTGCATATTATATTTTAATATTTGTATTAATGCTATAATAATTTAAAGTTTATTATCTATGCAATAAATTATTTTTAGAAAGCAAGAAGTAAATGAATTATGTAATTTAATGTCAATAAACATTTATATTTTGGATTCATTTCACGTGATCTAAAAACTGTGTAATTAGTGTGTCTGATATTTAATATTGTTTGATATATATTTTACAAAATCAAGTACTTGTTATCTAATAAAAATAATTAAACATTACAAAACTAGGAATTCTTATATAATAAGTATCCTAAATCTTAAACAACGAGTTATTCTATTGTTTATTTGTTTAAGTTATGTAATTATTTTAGATGTTCCTTCTTTTAAATCTTCAATTAAGTATTACATTATGTAACACTATATATATATTACTTTTGAAAATTAAAAGCTAAGGGGGGCGAATCTAAATAAATTATGAAAGTTTTATGAAAATATTACATATATGGTAGAAAATTTTGAAAGTCCAAGGGGGGCGGTCGCCCCCCGCGCCCCCCCTAAATCCATCTCTGATACGAAGTATATTGGAATATTGGATGGAGTTCCTTTAATTTACACGATTGAATAAATTGTTTTGACACGTTTCAATTGGTTAGTCGTTGAGCACTTATATTCGTCCATGCATCTTTTGAATATATTATATTAATGAAACTTGTTTGTTTACATTTCTCGCAGACGTCGTATGCTCAAGTTTTTAGAGACTGGTACATCAATGGAGGTTCTGTTCAATTGATTGACGAATTTGATATACCAAGAAACTGTTCTTTACAAGGAATCCGTCCCAATTCATGAAAGGCCGGGTTCAATTTCACCTTGAATTGTTCTAAAAAAACAATATTCTGAATTTGGTTCTTTAGTACGTACGAATCCAAATTGCTTAGGCTGTAGTACGTATGAATCAAGAATATGTTTGGATATCAGTTTTATACTATGTTATATGTTTGACTTTCTAAAAGTTCAGCCTCGAGACTTAGTAGTGTTTTTGAAACTAACTACTATGAAATTAAAGGGAAAGTTCTCGAAATGGGACTAAAAAGGTTTGAAAATTCCAAAATAGGATTGTCATATTTTAATTCCCAAATAGGACTAATTACTGCCAAATTTGGAAAATACTGTCATGTTTGACGTCTGGTACTGCCAAAACATGACAGTAATTAGTCCTATTTTGGGAATAAAAATATGGAAGCCCTATTTTGGAATTTCCAAACTTTTTTAGTCCCATTTTGGGTAATATATCGAAATTAAATAACCTGCGCGCTAGGTTTAGTGTTCTTATAGGTATTAGATACGAAGTATATAAGACACCAAGAAAATGGACAATGTCCAAATACTATAAATAACTCATAGTACTCCCTGCGTGCTAGGTCCTCTATTTCCTTTTGGGATGTCCCAAAATGATGGTCTCGTTTTCCTTTTTGGAAAGAAATCTGTGGTCCTCATCATTTCACCTTTTTCTACTCAAATCTCAACCACAACTTTTACCTTTTCAACAACTTTATTAATATTTGTGCCCAAAAGAAATAAGACCATCAAATTGGGACGGATGGAGTATTTATTAATTAAGTGTCCAAATATTATAAATAACTAATGATAGAATAATTTAAATAGGATGGAAGTTAACATATATCATAATTATAAAATACACAGAATAGACATATATCATACCAGACCAAATTAGTTCATATCAGATCAGAACAGATTAGATCAGTTCAGAATTCCAGTAAACACATCTTTAAATATTAGGAAGCAAATTGAGTTCTCATCACAAAGTACATACTTAGTACCTAAATATGCATCCGGTGCAAACTACAAACTAATGGCATCCATTTGATTGGGAAATATCAGATGGCTGATACATATGAGGAGTATATTTAAAACGGTGCACTCAGACACATGTAATATAAATGGATAACACAGTTTTATAACTTTTGGCATTTAAAAGGTCACAAATGTAATTTAGAAAACAAATATATCCCACTAATTGATTCGAACGATGCTATACTTCTCACTAAACAATTAACCATGCCAATATATGTAAATTAAATAAGGTAAGTGGAAGACAAGGTAACCCCATGATATGATTGAAGTTAGTCATAAATTGAAAAGTAATTTACCTTTTTGTAATTAATAATTTCTATGAAACGATCGGTTCTTAATAAAGAAGGATTTCACTATACGTTTGACATTTTTCTGATCATTATTTGATCTCCTCTTTTCTGTTTTATCGATGGATTCCATTAAGCTGTTTGTTAGTCGACAGATTTGGGACCAACAAATTCACATAGACTTTTAAGCTCAGTTTAGATAAGTATTTTCGTTATATTTTCTAGCATGTTTAGTCTCCAAATGAGGAGTTAAACTCTTCCATCTTAGTTTTGCTACATTGAAGATTATGACTTGTAAGTTGTAAGTTATTTTATTTAATTATCTTCCATGAATATTAATTACATTCCTATTTTATATCTTATATTAATATTTGAGCATTACTTAAATGATAAAGTAGTTTTGTTTCATATATATTAATTATTACTAGAATCGATTGACGAAGACGCTTGTTATTCGCTCGGTCCTTTTAATGGTAGTAAACTTGGATTATTAATGCATGTGTCTCCAGTTAATAATCTAAGGAGAATAATTATATTGATTAAAACAATAAACCGCTTGTGTTATGTTGAGGTTGTCAATCTCAGTTGATCTCATCTTAAGTTTTATTGCTACTATTGGGTCAATATAAAACTCGTGTTTTATATTCACTTGATAGTAAGTTTTATTAATGAACGTGTCTCGTTATTAATAATTATCCTCTATAAATTGGAAATACTTTACGACTCAGTATTCGAGAGGAAGATAGTTAAATATATAACCGAGATTGACGAACATATCGATCACAAAGTGGAAATAAGCAAAAACAAGTCTCAAACTCTATTTTATTTAACACATTAGTCCTTTATCTTAGTGTTAAAATACTCTTAAGTTAAATCTAAACCCCCTGGTTACAATATCATATAAGAAAGATATTTCATTTTTGTAGATACGACTCTTAATTACTACGCTATATAGTACATACGGTATTAGTGCAAGTATTGAATATTATTCTGAGGCTCAAACCACTTTAGTGTTGTCAACTATCTTGTGCCTTCTCTATCATGTCTAAATGTTCTCCTTTTTCTTATTTGGACGTCTCATTCAAGAATTCTCATTCCATTGTAGGAAATGATTATCTTTCTTTTACAGCCGCTTTACTCCATCGGTCAAATCCCATCAACCATCCGGCTACCCTCCCCAACCACCCTCCCCAACAACCGTAAAAAATTCTTCCTTCATGTTCCTTACTCTATTACTTCACATGTTACAAATTAGAGGTCGTTTGGCAACACTGTTTTTCGGCTTATCAAGCTTATCAGCCAACATTTTCACCAAACACGTAACTTTTAATTTGGCGCGCTAAATTTTTTAATAAGCAGAAAAAGTAAGGTTGAACTTACTTTTCTGGTTAGATTGGCTGAAGTTACTGTAGATGACAATTTCAGCTATCTTTACATATATATTTTTCTTTATTTTATTAACAAAATATACTCATATTAAAATTATTTTTTTCTTAAATCAGCAGAATCAGCCAATGCAGCCACTTCAGCACAGAACTTCATAAATTTCAACAGATCATTCAAATCAACCGATTTTCGTGCTAGCAAACGAACTCTAAATTTCTCATGTAACTGATTGCAAATTCTTACGACCTTAGCTATTTGAAATGTAACATAAAGGGAATTAATTATGAAATCACAAACGACTAATCAATAAATGAGTATCAGTTACATACTTAAAATTTATCATACATTTAATATTTCAATCTTAAAATATACGGAGAAAGTATTAGACAACTATATATATATATGCGCATACATTGACCTATACAAATATACAAACAACTCGCTTAGTGAGATATTAACCACTAGAGACATAAAGCAAATATATATAGTAGAAAGCTTTTTTTTAGGGTTTAGAGTGAGATATATTCAATTATGAGTACTCTAAAGCACATTATTATAATAGTATTTATTTTCACAATTGTTAATCCTTTGGTAGTATTTTCAATTGATAATATACCATCTCCCTCACCAATCGGATATGCAGTAAAGAACTATGATGAAGATACGTTGGAACGGCAAATAGATGAGTGCCTGCATAAAATTAAGGGTGGCATTCACGGTCAAGCTGAAATGGACTATTTCAGAGAGCTATGCATAGAAGGTCTATGTGAATCGTATACGATCTGTGGAATATATAATTGATGTAATAACTAAACAACCAAGCTAAGGGTAACCTAATCAATCAAATGACTTTCTTCTCTTACTCTTAATTATTTTACGTTATAAAGCTTGGTGGTGAACAAACTTTAATTTTGGGAATTTTCACGATAGATTTTCATATTAAACCAAACGAATGCAAAATTGACATTAATAATCCTTAGTTTGTCATAACTCAAATAAAAAATTTGGCCTTACTTTTAGGGTGTTTTCCCAAAACACGGGAAAATAGAACATGTGGTGCGAAAATACGGCCATTTTTGTAGGGTTTCTCAAATTACGAAAGTTTTTGTATTGGGAAGTGATTATTCCGACCACATTTTTTTTTTAACACTCCAGTCGGAATTGGAGCTTCCGACCAGCTCATCATGTTGATTTTCTTCTAAGTCCTCATCTTCTTCTTCTGTCAAATCAAATGCTTTTTCCCCATCTATGGAAATGATCTGAAGCTTGTATATTTGAGCACTGCATTTATGACCCGGATAGTACCCTTCATCACAGTAAAAACATAGGTTGTTTCTTCTTCTTTCTTCAATATCTCTAGCAGACAAGTTCCTTCTTACCTGATTGTGTAATCCTTTTTTCTCTCCCACTTGAGTAATGGGTTTTGGCAGTAGTCCTTTGGCATTCTGAGAGACAACAGATCTATATGGAGGTAATGTAGGTTTTTCAATATTTCTGTAAACCGGTTTATCCCCCTCTCCTCTTCCCCATTTCTTCAAGGCATCCAAGCTATTTTCTTGCAACCGGGCATATTCCATGGTCTGCATCAAGGTTCTTGGTTTGAATGCTTTCACAAAGGACTTAATAGTAGGATTAAGTCCTCCAATGAACCTATCCAAAAAAAATTCTTCAGGCAGCCTTTCAGTTCGCTGCAGCAATAAACTTCTCAGTTGCTCAAATTGATCCATGTATTCGTCCAATGATCTGAACTGTTGAAGTCTATTGAATTCTTCAGTTACTGTACTCCCCAATTCTTCATTAAACCGTGCACAAATATCCACCACAAATTGTTCCCATGAAACCTTCTTATGCACAGAAATATAGCTAGTAAACCAAGATTCAGCACGTCCAGACAAATACAAGGATGCTAAGTCTACCTTCTGGTTGTTATCAATAGAACAAAGCTCAAAATATTTTGCACATTTTTGAATCCATTGACGGGGATTAATTCCAGAGAAGTTGGGAAATTCAATCTTGGGAAGAAATCCAGGAGTTCTAGCATGATTACCTGAATTTGGTTGAAAATTTCCGTGCGCAGATTGGATTACAGGAGAAATTTGGTGCAGCGACTGATCCTCTAAGTTTTCCACCGTCTTTTTCTGCATCAGTTGTAAGAACACATCAAGTTTTTGATTAGTTTCAGCAAACTTCTTCTCGTTCAAAAGAGTCTGCTCTTCCAGTTGCCGTTCGAGCCCTTGCACCTTGTCCTCCATTAAAACAGCTAGGGATGCCACAGTAGTCTTTTTCGCCAGGGTTTGAAAAGTGCACAATGGAACTGGAGATCGTATGGATGAATCTTCGATTCAGAGAAGCTCTGATACCAATTGTAATGATCTAGGCTAAATAAGCGAAAATCATTAAAAGCAATAGGAATTCTAATTGTAAGAATAGAATTCGAATTAGGATGTTTACAGACTTAGCAAGATGAAGAAGAAGATTGATATCAGATATTTCATAGTCATATTACAACCCATGCGTATGTATATATACAGATCTTATCTCAACTACTATCACAACTCAATAGCTATCAGTCGGTTATGACTAACTACTTCTTTATCTCCTGTGTACGCATGTTTGTCTTAATATGGTGCTGCAGCTGACTGGCTATCTGACGTGGCTCACAGTCAAAGTCAAGGGTTATAACAGATTTATTATTTTTATATTATACGAACAACATTTTAAATATAATAGGGCTCTTTTATGTTATGTTTTAATTAACTCATCCGTATTACGGAGTAGTTGTGAAATATATTTATCAAAAGAAATTCAATTTTGATTTTGTTTAATCTGAATTTTTTGTATGTGATTAAATTTTATGAGTTAATTTTTATCAGATAAATTTTATTTGATTAAATTTTACCTAATAAAGTGTGTAGGTGTGTTGCATGAAATCGTATCTGATAAATTTTATGTAATGAATTTTTATCTGATTAAAATTTATCTGACTAGTATAATGTACTATTATTAAAAGTTCTAAAAATGAAATATATGATTAATAAAGTGGACTACTCTTATCTGACGAATTTTATCTGATGTATTTTATCTAATTAAATTTTATGCGATTTATGTGATGAATTTTCCACTTTTTCAATTAATTTTTTGCGGACCCATATCTTTGGATTCTACCCAATGCTTATTTTCAGTTTTGACCATAATTTAAAAATAAAATAAAAATACATTACTTGGATTCTTCAATTCTGACCAGCACCCTATCCTCCATACTTTGTTACCAACCATCATATTTAAAATAATAATACTAGTAATACTTAAGTCGGCATACTTTGTTTGGAACCATCATATAAAATAATAATACGGAGTAATACTTTATGTCGGAATTGGGGAATCCGACTGGCATTAGTGCCTTGTGTTAGCAAACCCTACCCGTTGTCGGAATTGGGAGTTCCGACTCCCGTATTTTCGTACCAAAAAAGAAACTCCCGTCTTTTGGAAGGTTAGACACAAAACCCCCGTCTTTTAGTCATTTCCTCTTACTTTTACATCATTTATATAAATACTTTCTATTGGAGAAGTTAACAATAATAATTCAAACTTGTTAAACATATTTTTCACAAAATTGATTTGCCGCTTTACAGCGTTAAGTTTTGATCCATACAAGATGCCACAAGTGTGAGTCTCAAATCAATCAAGGATATTTACACTATCTTTAACAAATACGTACTGTAATAAATTTAGAAAGATATACAAACAATATAACAAATATTGTCGTTAAGTGGTGAAAAGTTCATTATTAATTAACACATTTAATGACAATTGTTTTTGTCATCTTCAATTTATTTTCACAGGGTCATAGTTCCCCTTATTGACCTAATGACGATGTTGTTGCTCTGTCCATCTTCTATAACTTTGACAAAGTTAGCCGAAACGTAATTAATAATGTAAAATTTATGCGATTGAAATTGTATAGAAGAGAGAAACAAAATTAATTGACAAGAATCACACATTATTATCTAGCTAAAAAAGAATGTGACAAAGTTAGGTTATTGTGATTTGTGAGAACAAAAAAGAAAAGTTGTCAAATAAATACTCGACAAATAGAGTATTAATTAATGATGAGATACAATCGAGCTTCTTCAATGGAGCGGGTACACATTTTGTGATGTTTTGGTACCTCTTATAAGGATGTTTTCTTTTGGACTGTTTTCTTTTGGACTGTTTTCAGTCCCAGACCAGACCAGACCAGATCAGACCAGACCAGACCAGACCAGATCAGACCAGACCAGACTTAAACAGACCAGACCAGACCAGACCAGACTTAAACAGACGAGACCAGACCAGACTTGGATAGTTATAAAATACACAGAGACCAGACGTTTACCAGACCAGACCAGTTCAGACCAGACCAGGCTTAAACAGACCAGACCAGACTAGACTAGACCAGACCAGACCAGACCAGCAAATTTCAGTCCAAAAGAAAACATTCTAAGTTATAACTAGAGTAATGAAATCATGACATTATTTCATTTAATGAGGCATATGTTGAGAATTAATTATCTGATTAGGACATGGACTTTAGTCACGGTTCTAAATCAGTATTGTATCTTGGAGTGGAGTCCAAGTTGTTTAATTGATTTAATTAGTTTAGACAGTCCTAGCTGTATTAAAATATAACTAGTTATAGTCTATATCTATAAATACGATGTAGTATATGGGCATCGTATGCGGAAGATGTAATTATAGTTTTGTGTTAGTTTCTTCAATATAATATTGCGTGTTTGGCATATTACTATTTTAGCTCTCTGCATATCTTTGGTGTGTAGCATATAATGGGCACACAACTATTTTTTTTACCGAAGGAAGTAGGGAGTCGAACCACAGTGAAGCGGGAAATAAAATAATTAAGCACAAACTAAGGATTAAAGTTGGGAATGCGTTTCTTTTTATTTTTGGTTGCTTGGAAAAGTAATAAAATAAAAGTGATTGAGATGAGAGATTTTTATCAACCAAAGTTCAACCAATAGGAAGTAGGGGTAGAAATTGGTAACTAATTGTTCAATGTTTAATTGAGAGACATAATAGCTAATTTTATTCTTAGATAGATTGTGAGAAGTTGTAGATAAATATTTTAGGACCCAACACAAGTCATCTAAAATAAGTAACTAGTCAACATTTCCCAGTGATGGCCAAAACGAGACTAGTTGTTTAAGTGCAACGACAACCTTAATTATTAACTATATTATTTACCCAACCCCGTGGTGTAAATAATATAATTAAATAATTAAATTCTCCCGTAAAACTTCAATCCGGGACAAGGTAAAAGAAGTTTAACGGTGTGTTCAGAAAGTGTTCATTTGTGTATTTATCAAATAATATGTTTATGATTGATTACTCATAATATATATCACAAACACAGTATAATTAATTTTCTGGACACAACAATCTAAATAGAACAAACTTAACAATTAAAATCAATACAAATTAAAACATGATAAGAACAATTAATTAACCAATTTCTATCCCCAAATTTATTTAGCTATACATGTTGGGAAGCTTAGAAATAGATGAATTCATGATTAAAGTACAAGATTTAAAGAGATAAGGAAGATCAAACTTGTGATAGATGACAATACTTGGAGCTTGGTGCTAATCTTGACTTAATCTTGAATGAGAAGGTGATTAATTGATGTTGAAGATTGGTTGATGATTTGGAGGTGAAGAATGAAGAGAGAAGGAGGAGGAAATGATTCTGGGAGGTGTAGAGAGAAGTTGGCTCGAGATTCTGTGTGGAAGGAGATGGATTAAGGCAATATAATGATAAGGTGATTAATCATTAATTGCTGGAATTTACGGAACTATTAGATATATATACAAGCACATGTCTCCAAATGTCAACAACCCATAGCAGCGCAGTGGGAGCAGAGTGCAACTGAGACTCTGAGGTCCCGTGTTTGAACCCTTCTATTGATTTTTTTTCCGTCTTTTCTTGCTGCAGTTGAAAGGAATTAAAACAAGCTCCAGCTAAACCTTCACAACTTAGACATTCAGCTCACTAGTTGAGCTTGCCTTTCTTTTCCCAAGTGATCAGTAGTGCAATTTTGTTCACCCTCTCCTTGGAGGGTGAACATAATCCCCCTCCCTATTTGCTTGTCATGTGGCAAAAAAAAAAAAAGAAATGAAATGCCAAATGGCAACATTTGAGCTATGGGGGTGATGTTCACCCTCCAAGGAGGGGGTGAACAAAATTGCACTCAGTGATCAGGGATCGAATCCTTGCTTCATGTTTTTTATTCACGTTTTGCCTCTTTTCTTCAATTTACTCATTTGCTTGAAATTCCACTTTTAACTGGAACTTTCATTTTCTTCTTTTCTTCACACACAAATATATCAAATTAGTACTGCATAAGTACAAACTAATGACACATAATAAAAATATGTACAAAAGTAGAACTTTAATAACTAAAATTAACAACGTACAAACTAAGCTTAAAATGTATGTAAAATATAAGTATATCAAATCCCCCACACTTAGGCTTTTGCTTGTCCTCAAGCAAAACAAACAACAAACACAAAAACATACACAATTTGGTAAAATTTACAAACATAACTAAACAAATCACACATACACCTCTAATGTCCACTAAACGGTCCAATACCTTGAAATGTCACACAATAACGCAATGAGAGTAAACTGATCGAGTATTATTGCCTATCACTAAGATTTTTAAATCAAACTTTTAACACAAACACTTATAGATCTGAATTAGTTCGGGTTATGCAGAACAAGTTTCTCCTCTTAGTTTAATTCGAAAACAGACACAAATAGATCAATTAGGACTTTTGATACACTTGTAATTTCCGTGTGTATGTTTATGTTTTTAGCTAGTTTTGGTTGTTTAATATTTCGGAAATTACACACTTTTGGTGTAATAGTTTAGTTTGTTAAATCCTTGTAAATTGTTTAGATTAGGATTATTCTGAGCTCAAACAGGTCTATTATCACTCAAAGGATGGTTGGTGAACCCCAAAAGTGGAAAGAAGGTGCAAATCACAAGGCAAAAAGGGCAAATCCTGATTTTTGCCTATACTCGGTCGAGTATTACCTATACTGGATCGGATATAAGGTTGAAACTTCAAATCAGATCGGATCCGAAGACAAAGGAACATGCCGGGAAGATTTTGACCACGATTCAGTGTCTATACTCGATCGAGTAGACCGACATACCCGATCGAGTATGCCTTTGAGTTTAAACCCGAAATCGGTCGAGTATGGCTCGAATATCACTTTCTACACATAATCGACCGAGTATGAATATATACTCGATCGAGTATACCTTTGATTTTTAAGCCAAAATCGATCGAGTATACCTCGAATCTGGCATTTCACACATACTCGATCGGGTACTATGTGTATACTCGATCGAGTACTCGAGTCCCATCCCAAAAGCCTATAAATACACCCTCTTTCCTTCACAATAGATCACCAATTCCT